GAAAAGGGTAAAAAAATGTAAATATTTGTTTATATGTCTCCGCAAGATGAACAGTGAGGACGGACAAGTTTACTCTGTTTGTATACTGCAATTTTCTTGTTTTACTAAGTACAACCGTATGCAGTCAAAACATAAACAAACAAAATGTGAACATAGCAGACGAAAATCTTACAGATTACAGCTTTCTCAGTAGGTATCACTATACTAAATCAAAGAATTATTAAAAAGACAATATCTAAATTGTCACTGAATTCCCATGCTTATTGGGACACTCTGTATAAAGGGAATTGCGTCCAGTAAATCAGCCTCCGGCTAATTCTTACAATTAATTTGAGAGGTATAAATGTTTAATATTTCCCCCTCATCTGTAAATTACTTAATTCTAAGTTCGAATCTGATGAATTTGAACCGCGTTGATGAACCACCAATCGCTGGTTTAAATTGCGCGCTGGCTCAAATCTTGAAACACTTTTAGGCTAACCAACCATATTTGAACGGTTCAAAATACAATGGTTTTCTAATACCAACAATAACGTTGCAAACCCAATGTTTTAGACCGTGGATATTAATTTTGTCAGATCAAATAAACTGAGTTTAAGATATCAAAGGTTTACACCATCAACTAGGAAAGATACAGGGATTAGCAAATTTGAGTTTGTGGCAAAGACTCAATTCTTTTAACCCAGTGAAAAATTGCTTGAATTAAGGTATATGCCATTTTCGATAAAATAAAAAAAGAACTTATAGTCTATACTCTACATACAGGGTGTCTCAATACAAATGGATATTGAAAGACGACTTGAAAGTCGTCTTTGATTTCTGATATTTAATGCGTGGCAAAGAAAGTAAAAAAAAGCTTTCCATGAAGTGGTCTCTATATATTTATACCTTTATTGTATTTTAAAAACTGACGAAGATATTAGATATTAAGACAATTTTGATTTATTAAATAAATTGAAATTTGCACAAATTTTGCAATATCTCCGTCAATTTTGAAGATGCAAAACTGGTGGACCACATTTTTAAAATCTCAAGACCATGCATTTTCGATATTTGAAGTCTAAGCTGGTATACTTGAATAATTGTGTTCATGAAAGAAATGTCTCATGGATCGAAGACGATATAAAAGTCGTTACTGAATTCTCATATTTATTTGGACATCCTGTATCTGAGCACATGCAAGCTTGGTTTAGCGTTCGTATTATTTACGATAACATATCTGTGTTCATATTTCATACATATTTACACTGATATTTACCGCTTTCTACATCACATTAATCTCGTAGACCCCCAGAAGAGGATAATTCTTTTAGTGCACTGAATGTTTACTGTACATAACTTGCTCTAGTTGCTTATAAGTAGGGCCGGTATTTTAAATAAACCGGAGTTTTTAGTGACGTTCATATCAAAGATATTGTATGATAAAGAATGCTCAATAGCAGTACACTTTTTTATTTAGATCTAAGGTACGCATCAAATTTTGTATTTCATATCATAGTGAATTGTTTTAAAATCTGCGACTGTATTCGAATAAAGAACTGGATATTTTATTATTCTACTCTGACTGTTCTAAAGATCTAAAGTATTCTAATAATTGTATGCCTGAAGATCATAAAATACTAGTTTAAATCTTTTCAAAATATAATCTGCAATTCTCTTCCTAGAACTCTACGCTTCAACACAAACATTTTTATGCCTTTCATCAACACAAAACCTTTCATCAACACAAAACCTTTGTACAGTTTGAGACAACATCGTACAGAGTGGCACTAGTGTGTATTGTGTACAGAGTGGCACTAGTGTGTATTGTGTACAGAGTGGCACTAGTGTGTATTGTGTACAGTTTGTGTCTACGTGAAGGAAATGAAGTTGAATGACCTTCCCGTTACATGCCACGGTATCGTAATTATTACAATTATAAAAACTCGGGACACAGATAATTTTTTGTTTTTATTATAAAGATGCTGCTTTTGTACCCCCCCCCCCACACATGAAAATAATCTTCTCATATCCAATTTTATGATAAAAAAGGCTTAATAAAAAATTCAAGTCTATAATTGGTTTACATATTTATTTACAAAAAAATTGGTGATAACAAATCTATCTTGTAGTGTATCTACCCCTGTAGGACTTGGGAAAGGCCGTTAGCAACCGTCAAGTTCATGCTAGACAAGATAAAGGAAAATTTGAATTTAAATTTTATTTTCCTTGTTTCAAAAATCTACGAGAACCTTTATTTTAGTCATCCACACCACGCACGACGCTGAACATTTCTTTTGACTTTAATTCCTCAAATCTGCAAGTCGTTTTATCGCATAAAACTGAAAACAGAAGTGTCATGATGATAGGGTATTGTCAATAAATTCTATAATTTTATTAACATCGCGCGGTGATAATTGAGATATATTTGCAAAATCCTGACTCCCAGTACTCCACCCCCCCCCCAAAAAAAAAAATAATAACATAATTTAAATTTCACAAAATAGAATAGTTTTTAAACGAGAAAACTGTTACTTCACATCGTTATGAATGCATTTCATGGAAACCTAACTTTTTTAGAATTTAAAACTATTTTGTAAAAATCCCTTCACCTAATTTGAGAAAGATATTAATTCGAATTAAAAATCTAAGTTGACTTTTACATTTAATTCGTTTCATCCAATTTACTCACAGTTTAGTGTTTACTTGAATGACCAGTCAAATTCAAGTTTAAAGTTTTTACAGGGAGTTACAATAAACTTGAGAATAAAATAGGACTGGATACTGGACACGTTCTTTATCTTTAAACCCGGTTTTCGCCTTTTTTAACGAGAACCTACAGACAGAGTTATCAGTCTACATTCGTTCTCTTAAAAAAAAAAAACTAGGTCGTTTTATAACTCCAGTTTCTAGTCATAAGGTGACCGTTTCCGGGAAATCCCGTTTGTTGATTGCGTAAACGATCATTAACGATCATTAACGATAATTAAGTTCTAAATTTAAGAAGTTTGGTTTCAAATAACTTTTTTGGCAGAATTTTCGGTTGTCTTGAAAAAGGAGCGTGTAGTAATTATAATCTTTTGAAAAAGTGGATGTTTGTTCTTTATAAAACAAATAATTCAAACAGTATTGAAACTTTTGAAACTATTTTAAAATAGATGATTTTTGGGATTCACTGTATTCATATTAAAAATAAATGTATATTTTAAAGATATATAATCATTTTAATTCGGAGCTTAAATCTCATATTTATCTAATTAAAAAATCATTATTTATTGGTTGTTCACGCTTTACGATTGCAATTCTGTACTTTTAGATATTTTAAAAACTGCCAAACCTTTATGTATTTTTTTTCTTAAAACTAAAAGCCTCATTCATTCAATATAAGCAACTTCAAACTAAATTTTAACAAAACAGGCGTTTTTGGATAAATAAGGAAAATTCTGGAAGACCTTTATAGTCGAAGGTTTAAAAGGGTAACAATGTGAATATTGGATACCCCCTTTAAATTGAAGGTCACTTGAAATTACACTTACAGTCCCTTTATTACAAAGATATAATCTGCAGACGAGCCGCTAATAGACAAAAGCTTATCTTGTTGTTTACAAAACCTGAACTTCTTGAAAATGGAAACTTTTGGAAGAAGATCTGGAGATAGAAATATAATAAAAAACTTAAGAAATTTTTACCCATTGAGAAAAAAACTAAAAATATCACGGCTGGAAATTATACTTAGAGATGGACGCGTTTCACTTTTTTATTTTGTTCATTCATCAACCAATTTCGTTCGTTTTTTTCAATCGTTCAAAACAAATGATTTCGTTCTTTCTTAAAAAGGTCAACCATTTTCCAAAAATTTCATTCGTTTTCTCACTAAACGATCTTTCAGTTAAATCAATCGTTGAGTAAAATCGTTCGAGATCTGTAAATAAAAGATAGCATTTCAAAATTTCGTTTAAAGAAATCGTTCGTCTAAGTAATAATTATATCGTCCTTTTTTAAAATTTTGTCGCAAAAAATCGTTTGTTCAGTAAAAAAACTGTTTTTTTTCAAGTTCGTTCATGAAAAATTTTGTGCGTTCATAAAATTTCTTTCGTTCACAAAATAGATGCCCATCACTACTGATACTTATTAAAACTTATTTCTCTTTGTGAATAATTTGGATAATTAATTTTTAACTAAAACTTTTAAATTATAAGCGTTGAAATAAATAGTAAAGGTTCCAGCGGTTAATCTGGGAATTTAAATTTAATCAATATAACTTGACATTTAAAAACAAAATATATCAGGTGGAACTGTAATATGTAAACTTACTAAGTATCTGTAAAATATAATTTAATCATAGAGAAAAGAATATATATTAGAGTGGAATTTACTAGAAAAAAGTGTAAAACTGCCATTTTGTTGTACTGTTTCCATACTGCAGGTGTACTTCACATATTTGTGCTATATAACCTTTTGGGCCTGGAACATCATTTCATAGAAAATCTAAAATTAATATTAAAAGAAAACCAAATTTATAAAATAGGCTGGTTTCATAATTGACCATTGATCATTTCACATAGACTCTATGCCTTTCACTTTGCAAACGATGATTTTCCGTTATAACTATAAATCAAATGATGTTTTTTATTCACCTAATTCATTTTATAAAGTTTATTCAATTTAACAGCTTTAAAAAATTCTTAATTGAAATGGATAGTCTAAGGAACATACTGCATCAGTGTACTCTACTGCATATAATTTGTGAACATTTACATGATTTGTACACTTTGAACTCCTTTCAGGCTGCTGGGAATGACAAAATTCATACCGAGAGATTGCCTAAATTCCACTCTAATATATTTGAATTTAATTTTTATAATCATATTTTAGATGTTTTGAAATGGAAATGGTTTATTTACAGTCTTTCGTGACTCTAACGTGAACTCTAATTCAAGTGTAAAAAAAACGTTAAATAAAATGTCATTGCCCAGGCCTGGCCCTCAAGATCCCTGCCGCTGTTCAGAAATATATTCATAATTTTGTTTAACGATTGAATTTTTTGCAACCAAAGAAATTGGAATTCCTGGTTTATATTCCTTGGCAGCCTGGTGAGATGTAAAAAGGTATTTGTAAACACATAACAGTACATGTGCACTGCAGTATTCAATTTGCAGTACAAATTTGTTTCAATTATTTAGTCAGTCAAACTGATTCTGAAGATGTGAAACCCCAAAACTTGTTACAAAAATCTTATCTAAGAAGATGGAAATGGAAATGAAAAAGATTGAGGCTAAGAAAGGGGAAGTACGGTAAGATCTAAAAACGTTCTAAATTCTAATTCTAAATATGCTTTTGGACAAAAATCACATTTATGTAAAACATATTTGTGACTTGGATGCCTCTCTTGTTTAGAGATTGCATCGTTTTACCCATTTTCATTCAAGGCTTTTTGCAAGGGTGTATATACAGAAATAAATCTAGGGTGGGGGGCCAAAAATGCGCATTTGGTTTCTAGTTTATCAGGAATACTATTTTTATTGGACAAGTAAAAAATACATTTTACGAAATTGTCAGTTATAGAAAATTTTTATCCATTCTTTTATATTGTAATTATCCTTTTTGTAATTCTTCCCAACTTCAGAGCCGATAATTTTTTTTGATCCCTTCCCCCTCCCCCCCCCCCCCCCCCCCGTAGGAGCTCCTAGGGGGGAGGTGGCGAAGGTTAGGCTTCTTGGATATAAGTATACTTTAAAGGTACACATACAGTCAAATCACCCTGCAAGTACTATTCCATCTCTCCTTCAAACAAAACTCTTTGAATTAAAAGGAAAAATTAGGTTACAGCACTGCAAACTTTTTTTGTTATGTTCTTCACTCCTCTTCACAGTTATAGTGGGAGGCACTGCCCACCTTGCCCCAACTGTATGTATACGCCCTTGGCTTTTTGTGTTTTTCTTACTCCGCTCAAGATAAATCAACAAAAAATTCTTGTTCTGTCAGAGTTAAGATTTGCCTCCGTGTAGTAAAATCTAACTTGAAGAGAATACAATTATAAAATGTTATTTAAATGTTAATTCTCACATTTTAGTGGAGTCTACTTATATAAAGCTTGGCAATTCAGAGGCTGGATTTAAAGAATTTAAGCCGCGGCTTAAATTTAAGCGAAGCCGGGGCTCAAATATGGTTGGTTCCATATAAAATTGTATTCAATTTTTCAAGATTTAAGCTGGCACTCAATTGAAACAGGTGTCGGGGGCATTTGAGACGCGGCTTAAATTCATTAAATTCGGACACTGAATGTTTTGTTATACACATTTTTTCAAAATTACCGACACTTTTTTTTAAAAATAAAATCTTAAACAAATTTGATTTGATGATATTTGATACTGTTACAGCGAAAGTGAAGTTACGAGAAGAATTGCTGAAGGTTTTCGTAAGGTTCAAGAGAAGAAGATAAATGTTCAAAATCTGAATTTCAAAAGGGTAAGTGTCTTATGTTTACAGTGTGCACAAAGTAGTATTGAGAGGATTATTGAATATTGTCCTAATATGAAATAGGATCAAATCTGGAATGAATTTAAAGGTTTGGGGATTTTTTTTCCAGTTGGCGTTACTAATAGTGCAAAATTGTTGGCGGTACTAAAGTGCAAAATGGTTGGCGGTACTAAAGTGCAAAATGGTTGGCGGTACTAAAGTGCAAAATGGTTGGCGGGTTGGCGGTACTAAAGTGCAAAATGGTTGGCGGTACTAAAGTGCAAAATGGTTGGCGGTACTAAAGTGCAAAATGGTTGGCGGCACTAAAGTGCAAAATGGTTGGCGGTACTAAAGTGCAAATTCGGTTTAAAATGTACAATATTGTAGTAATAAAATCCAAAAGCCTCTCTGTAGACAAGTATTGTTTTTAGTGGTATTGTCTAAAGCTTGAGACTGTCTAATATTCTAAACAGGGTATCATTTTGAAACCCAGTATCGAGAATCCGGTTTCATGAATTGGGTTAGGCAATTTTTTAGAGACAGATATTTTTGTTAAGAAATATTATTTTATTTAGTTTTTTTTTATATTTTCTAATTGCTCACTAAAAATATAAACAAATGTATATTCCCCAATAAGTTAATTTTTAGGGTTTCGTTCAACGATGTTCACGAGTTTTCTTTTTGGGGCATATACATTTGCGTAGATTTTAATTTCTGAAATCAGAAAACAAATAAAGAATATCAAGAATCCACATGACACAACGTTTCCTAATAAAGGTTCCGATATTTGATTCATAAAAATCGAGTTTCTGATTCTAGGTTTTATTACGATTCTCTTGTCCGGTTTCTTTGTCCGGTTCTAGCTATGATTTAGCTGCGACTTCCTGGCTTAGCTATGATTTTGTATTCGTTAGTCTAAAATCAGAGCAAGATCGAAGCTTAGGTTTGATCTGAAGTCGGAGCTAAATCATAGCTAAACAATAAACATCAGCTGATGGAAATCACACCTGAGGTTGGATTTAGCTTCGACTTCACAGCTAAATCACAGGAAATGGGAACAAACTATTCTCCATTTTTAGGTTTTCACATGATTTTGGATACAAATAAGCAGACATTAAAACTACTAAAATTGCAAAACATGAAAATAGAGACCAGAAATAATATGCCAAGATGCATAGTTCAGAAAAATGAAAATATTTCTAAGGTTTTTTAAAAAAAACCTAAAAATAATATTTTTTTTTAAAAAGATATTTTTTAATTTTTTAACTAATAAATTAAAAAAAATATTTTCTAAAAAATACTTTTTAAAATAAAAAATCAAAATTTTCTTAAGAATATTTATTT